AAATAATGTAAGAAAATGTAGTCCATTCACTTTCCTCAAACTGGAAAATAAATTACATTTTAGAACCATTACACACTCTTGTGGGAGGAGTACATTGACAAAGATTAAAAATGTGTCATATTTCATACACATATTAACATGCATATACATGTACACACACATGTGTGTGCGCGCACACACACACATACACACACCTTGTAAGCAGGCTCTCAGATCTATCCCTATATATACGTGAATAGCTTCCCTACAAGCCAAAAGTGGTTTCTCTACCGTATTTCAAAGCAATAATAAATAGTGATGGGAAATGAAATTGCTACAGTCATTAGAAGTGTAGATCAAATACTACTGTGGGAATGAGCTTAATTCTAGTGAGTTGGAAGAAAAGCTTCTATTATATTTAATTGCAGTAATTTTCCCACTTTCTCTCTCTCTCTCTCTCTCTCACACACACACACACACACACACGCACGCACACCTTGCCAGCATAGATAACTAAGAATAATTTCTTTGAGAATAATGCTCCGCAGGAAGGAAAAATATCTTGTGGATATGTTCTAGTGTACTAAAACCTCTATTCCTTGTGGTGGTTGTTTTGTTCCTAGTTAAAAATTCTCTTTGCTAGGTAGTAGAAAGGACAATACACCAATATCTCTTAATTTCATCTACTTATAATCATTTTTCCACACAAAAGTCTTTACTTATAAGAAATGTAGGGATGCAAGAAAATTAACCTTGGTTGGTAATGAGACTTAGGCAAAATGTGAAGATTCCTGCTTGCATATTTGCCATTTTTCATAGCCAAATATCTGGCTTTGTTAAGAATAATGTAACATGTCCTTTATGGGTTCTTTGGTAATTTGTATTAGAAGTTCTTAGGACAATAACTAATATTTTCTTCCAGGAATTCATCCCATATATGGCTAAAAAGTACAATTTCCAGTATGAGTTTGTCCAGTACAAGTGGCCACGCTGGCTTCACCAACAAACAGAGAAGCAACGTATTATCTGGGGTTACAAAATTCTTTTTCTGGATGTGCTTTTCCCCCTCGCTGTTGATAAATTCCTTTTTGTAGATGCTGACCAAGTAAGTGGTTTTGAAGACTCAAATGTTATTTATTTTAAAAAGAATGTCTGAGGTGTCTTTTTTTAGCTAGGGCACCCTACAACTTATATTTTAAAATTTAAAAATAATTTACAAACTTTGTAAGTATTCATAAGTCAAAAAAAATAGCTGATAAATGTAAAATCCCTTGAAAATTAAATGGGATAAAATGATCTAATTGCACAGTTAAATCTAAAGAAAGAAACTACATCTCTAATTTCTTTAAAAAGAGTGTTTCACAGTTTAAATGCTAGTATACAGAGAGCTTTGTTCACTGCCCTCATAAGTTATCCACTGTTGATGGTGAGACATTCACAGGTGTATCGAAACAGACTCATATAAGAATTGAGATCTAGGATCCAGAATGTTTAAGGCTTTATAAGATCAGCCTCTTGGATATATGCTTGGAAACACAATGGAAGCCAGTGCAATTGGATCTAGAATAATAATTAAACAAAAGCACAAATCAGAAAACAGTCTGGTTGCCACTTTTCACAATAACTTCAGTTTCCAAAACCTCTTTAGCATAAATCTACATGTAACACAGCTTGTAATCTGAGTAGTGATTAAGGTATTGATTGCTATGGCTAGCTGCAAGATGAGCCACAAATAAAAGATGACCCACTATAGGGCCACCTGATCCTTCATAATTGGTACCAAATGACCAAAGCTGCAAAAACTCAATCCTGCATTAGATCATCTACTGACCAACAATACACTTGCCTTAAGCCATTTCTGATGGATTATTGTCGGCTTCCTACATTAATGATTTACATAGACTTCTTAATGACAAGAAAATGATGAGACCTGACCCCAGAATTCATGATGGTTTTTAAGAAGTAATAGGGAATAAGAGTATCTGTTAGGATTCTTAGGGAAATCCTAACAGATCAGTGGGATAATATTCTCTTTAGCACCATCTTTTAGGAGATAAGGGACACGATGGCTTAGTGGCTAAAATGTTGAGCTCGTCAATCAGAAGGTAGACAGTTCAACAGTTCAAATCCCTAGCACCACGTAATGGAGTGAGCTCCTGTTACTTGTCCCAGTTTTTGCCAACCTAACACTTCGAAAGCATGTAAAAAATGCAAGTAGAAAAATAGGGACCACTTTGATGGGAAGGTAACATCGGAGTCATGCATCGGAGTCATGCTGGCCACATGACCACAGAAACGTCTTCGGACAGCGCTGGCTCTTTGGCTTAGAAATGGAGATGAGCATTGCCCCTAGAGCCGAAAACAATTAGCACACGTGCGGGGGAACCTTTATCTTTAGGAGATAGTGCTGAGGTAAGATCAGAATTAATGCACCAAATTTTCATATTTGGTACATGCCAAAGAATGGCACCATATTTGACACATCTAGCAAATGAATATACAGTAATCTCCCGCCTATTTCCATGAAGGTTGCATGTCATATCCTGGACTTCTGACATTTATTATTTTCCCCCTATAAAACTTTGAACTTGATTGCCTTCATTAATTCTAGATTCTTTCTCAGAAAAGAAATACTAAAAATCAGCATATAGTTTGCTGTGTGGTGAACAACTTTTTTCATCTGTACTGATCTAGTGCATAATAGTCACAGGAAACTGTAATGGAAAGGAGTGGTGATATGAAAGCCTCTAACTTGCAAGCAAGCTCTCAAATGATTGTAGTTAAACAACAATGGCTGTCAGACTAAACATTTTAAATGTTTGTGATCTCTAATAAGAACTGATACAAACTCATTTCTGCTGGTGTCTGTCACTTGGCTTCACCTAAATCTACAGGCCCCCTTAATATACTTAAATAATTTATTTATTTTCATATTCAAATGTATTAAATTAAATCAATTGATTAAACATATGTACCATGCTATGGTTTCAAGTTGGCTTTTGTTTTACTACTTATAGTATATAGACTACAAACGGAGATAATGGACATGGTTCCTTATTCCTCTCCTGAAGGCAGTTCCAAGGTTGGGGGCTTATAATAGTATTTTGGACATACCCTTTCCCATAAAAGTCCATATATTTGGGTTATAGGTTTTGGGAATGGATGGGAAAGCATTGTTGCCATAGATCATGTTTAATTAAGAGGAAAGTGGATAGATTGAGATCCAAATTCTACATTTCCTATGCAATAAGTAAAATTTTAAACTGAACTATTTTTTCTTTAGATTGTGCGTACAGACCTAAAGGATTTAAGAGATTTCAACTTGGATGGAGCACCTTATGGTTATACACCTTTCTGTGAAAGCCGCAGAGAGATGGATGGCTACCGATTCTGGAAGTCAGGATACTGGGCAAGCCACTTGGCTGGAAGAAAATATCATATCAGGTGATACCTTTACACCCCAAATACTTCTGAAGTATTTGGTCTGAGAGTAAATAGTAAATTTATTTTAAATATTACAAATAAATTCCAATCTGAATTTATTTTGTATTTTACTTATTTAGTGTATAATTCAGATACAAGTGAATCTAACAGCTGATTTTTCTCTATTCTTAGTGCTCTTTATGTTGTAGACCTAAAAAAGTTCAGAAAGATAGCTGCTGGAGATCGACTCAGGGGACAATATCAAGGACTTAGCCAGGATCCAAATAGCCTCTCCAACCTTGATCAAGTAATTATATCTTTTCATATATATGTGTGTGTATACTTCCATTCTTTTGTTCAAAAGAGATGGAAATCTTACAGTAATATTGCATTGTTAGAGAATTTTCCCTCATTCCCTCACAGATATCAGATTCCAAAAATTTAAGTTTTTGCAGACATATTGCTATTTTCTGCAAAATCAACCTTTAGAAACTTGTAGAATGGGCTTTCTCGGATACAAACATAAGATAGGTTAAGAATAACAAATATTGAGGAATAAAGTTAAGGAAGATAATACTTTGTGAAGAGAATCATCTATATGCATTGTGGTTACTAGTAGGTGGACAAGTAGGAATATGTATTAGTAGCATTTTCTGCAGGAAAGAAGGCCATGATAGAAAGGAGGCATTCACAAACTACTGTACCTTCCCATCTACTCTGCCTACCTGCTGAAGCATATGGATGTAGCTGAAAGCAAATGTAATGCATCTGGGTTAGTCAAGCTGGCATCCTTATTCTTGATTCAGCATCTTACTAGTTTCAGTTTTCTCAGGACTTTTGCCATAGGACTGAAATCCCAAACCCAGGTAAGAAATCGGCTCCTTCATTTCTTGATACTCTGAGGACTTGCAGCCAAGGCTACAGGAGAAAAATAAACATCCATTTGTTTCTTCTGGCTAGAATTCCACCCCCTACCTCTCACTGCAAGAAGAGAAGCGCTTTATAGCACTCTAGAATATATGACTTTCCGAAGTGTAATCCTTTAATCTGCTATAGACACGCAGATGAGCTGTAGTTGCCATCTGTTAAATGCAAGGTACAATAACTCAATATGATTTAAGAACTTATGGAACTCTTCAGTGATATGGTTGCAGATGAGGTAGACTCAAAGGTAATTAAAGACAAATGTTTTCCATTGATGCTTGGTCATTTCTAGCATGCTCATCCTAAGGTTCTGTTGTTTTATTTTATGTATTCTGTGCTCTGAGAAATACAGTGCCAGTGTATTCCTCAATATAATTGCTTGCCCGAGGGCATCTTTTGTTGTTTTTTAAATTTGGTCAGCACACAATTTTTTAATGTTTGTAATCCATTTGTAGAGGATTAATTTTAATTTATATGCAACTGTAATGCAATTGAAAAGTTTTTTTTTAAATGTACAAAGAAAGGGAACTGTAAATTTCTGTTTTATAGGATTTGCCCAATAACATGATCCATCAGGTCCCCATTAAATCACTACCACAAGAATGGCTTTGGTGTGAAACTTGGTGTGATGATGCTTCAAAGAAGAGAGCAAAGACTATTGATCTGGTAAAGTTGTGTCATTATACTGTGTGTGGAGGGGAAGGTTATCTGGTGAATAGGAGTTCACCAGGCCTGCCACGTGGTCATTTAGAAAACCTCCAGTAGGAAAGAGTCCAGCATATTTTTTGGCAGACTGTTCCACTGTTTCACAGCTCTTAGTTTAATGATGTTCCTCCTTATATTCACACTGAATTGTCTTTCTTTTAATTTCAAGCCTTTTGTCCTTGTCTCAATTTCAATGGGTCCTGCCTTCTGTTGCATGCGGCAGCCTTTCAGATATTTTTATACCCTTTAGTTTTCTCTTGCAACCTAAACAACCTCTGATTGCAACAACCTCTTGCAACCTAAACAGCTCTTCAGTAAACCTACACCAATATTTCCTTGTTGAAGGCCAGTGCCCAACAGTACATCAAGTATAGTCTGGCCAGCATAAAATACAATGGAATTACTATCTTCTATGAACTGGACACATTCCCTTCCAATTCTGTATGAGTCTATGCTTGAATCTTAAGTTCTCAAGTTCTCTCAGTAAATTTTTTCCTTGTGTGTCCCCATTGCCATTGATGTATGTGTTATATTGCAGTGTAATAATCCAATGACAAAGGAACCCAAGCTGCAGGCAGCAATGAGGATTGTCCCTGAATGGCAGGATTACGATCAAGAAATTAAACAGTTATATAATCAATTCCATCAAGAGAAGGAGTCGGGAATACTAATTACAACAAATGAAACTGAATCCCAAAGTCAGAAAGGTAATTATTTTTAAGGCATTCATTATTGTAAGAAATATCTACAGTATTTCCCATAGAAATCAGAAGATACATGATTGTAAGAAGGTAGAAAGGAACTAAAGCCATTGTGTCCCCATTTTTAGAGGAGAACTTAAATGTAAACTACATACTTCAAGAACTGGTCATATGTAACTTTTTGAGTCATTTTTAACTGAATAGGCATTAAGCAACTACCTGTAATTTGATCTCAGTGAAAATCTAGAAATGGAACTTTTTTCTATCTTAATATTGTTTATAGGTAGTCCTTGCTTAATATCCATTCATTCAGCGACTGTTATGATGACACTGAACAAGGGATACTTATGACTGGTCCTTGTAGTTGTGTCCCTACATTCACATGATCACAATTGGTGGGCTTGGCAATTAACCTGAAATTATGATGTTGTTGCATCCCACCGTGACATGATCATCCTTTGTGACCTTTATTGCTGGCTTCGGACAAGCAGAGTCAATGGTGAAGCCAGCAGGAGATTGCAAATGGTGATCAGCTGACCGCGGAAAATTGCATCAACACAGGATTTGCAACAGGGCTGCAACAATTGCCATTGTAAATTGGTGTGGTCACAGGATGATATACTTGATGTTGTGCCCTACAAACATTTCATTTAGTGACCAATTTCCAAGTCTCAATTACTATCAGTGTGAGGACTATCAGGAATATTGTTCATGAATAAATTGCATAATTGTCCATTTAGGAATTTGAAGTTTTTTTCTGAAAACCAACCATTCTGCATTTGTCTCTTTATTAGTTGTAGATAGAGCTGTTGTGTGATTTAACCGGGTTTGTTTTCCAGTTGAGACTTCTCTGTCAGAAATAGGGAAATGTAATAGAAGGAATAGTATTCCTAATTATTTTATTCTTTTGCCATAACGATACATTAATTGCCAGACCTATTAGTGGTATTTAAATGATATGCAGTTATTATATTTGTGCTCTTCATATTTACCTGCATATTTCTCTCTCTCTCTCTCGCTTGTTTTTTCTACAGACACGCTATTGCATGGAGAATTATGATCATGGTGACATACCAAGTGAGACTATTTCATAGACACTTTTTCTATCAAATACTAGTTTTTCTTAATACACTTGCAAAACTGCTGAGTAAAATGGAAGGTGTGGGTCATACATATTATTTCAATTGAGTCTGACAGATTGAATGGGAACTGGATTATTTGAATTAGCTGAATTGATTTTCTTTGCACCTGTGAGAGATTGAAGAATCTACAGAAGGATATGGAACTTGAGTAAAAAAGAAGTGTGGTAAAAAGCCTCTTTTACCAGCTTTTGGCCAAGTCTACCACGCTATGCCAATCTATGTCAATAGGACTCTACACCTTTCTCAGGAGTCCCAAGAAAGGGTAGCTACCTAGAGGATGAAATATGGAGAATACACAGGCATTTCCATCATTTCAAGATGCTGAAGTAGAGATTGCTCTTTCGGACTTGCACAGGGATTTTTATGATATTTTGGACTGATTAATGCAGTCAGAAATCAAATGGATTTTTTTTTATCATAGCCTTTGTCCTAATGGGAAAGTCACAGTTCTTTATTTAAATCTTACATTGTGAATATCACCTCAGATAACTCATAACTGAGCAAAAATGTCAAAGCAATCCACAACTTTTGAAATATATATTTGCAAATGTGTATTTTAATGCAGACTTTCTGTGGGACTTAACATCTTTTTCCACTGATAACTTAAAAGGACACTTCTCTCCAATTTATTGAAAACTGCAAAATTATTAGGGCATTAAGACTGCTGTAATTTGTCATCATTCACTGAATGTACTTTTTGTTCATGCAAATCTGTGGAAACTTTTTGATTATGTAAATTTGATAAAGTTTATTTTTTTTCCTCAAAAAAAGCAATGTCAGGTGAATAAAGCCTTCGAGTTCCTATATTTTTTCTTTAATTCTTCTCTTATGGATCCAATATTTGTAATAGTTGTCTCGTTTTTACATATAATATATGCACAACTTTCTGGTCAAATTTTCAATTGTACAAACACATTTATTTAGATGTAAAATTGTATCTAAGGAATATCCAATCTTGTAATGATCCCACCTCCCCACTTGTAATATTTTTTGTTACTGCTTTTCAGATGAAATAAGCAACTTTTGTAGAAAAACATTATATTGTGGATATATTGAATGACTGCCTGCAACTTTGAAATGGTTTCAAATACTTATAACTTGTTTTTTAATATAAAAATATCCTTTGCTAGAAGGATTAGCATCAGAAAAACCCACTACCAGATAAAATCTAAACTGTGAGAGAAAAAAGTGTAGAATTTAAAGTGCAATCTTGTAAGATCCAAACATTGTAAAACTGTATCATAATGCAAGGATACACTATGGTCCCTCATTTGAAAAGTCATGTTTTAGTTTGTGTTGAAATGTTTAATAAGCTAATACATGTAGTCCTCTCTTGCTAACCACTTAGTTAACAACCATTCAAAGTTCGGCCACAATTGAAAAAAGACTGATGACCAATCCTGAAAGTAGTAGCGTCCCTACAATCACACAGTTGCGATTCAGATGTTCAGGAACTGGCACACTTTTATTTATTTACTTGTTCATTTTTTATTTATATCCCACCTTTATTATTCTTACAAATAAGTTACAAATAAGGCGGTGAACATATCCAGCACACCTTCCTCCTCCTATTTTCCCCCACAATAACCACCCTGTGAGGTATGTTAGGCTGAGAAAGAGTGACTGGCCCAAAGTCACCCAGCTGGCTTTCATGGCTTTCATTTATGATGCTGCTTGTAGCATCTTGCAGTCATGTGATTGCCATTTGCAACTTTTACAGACTGCTTCCAACAAGCAAGGTCAGTGGTGGAGCCAGCAGAAAATTAAAAGTCGCAGATCCATGATGTTCACTTAACAATCATGGGTGATTTGTTTAACATCACAGCTTATCAATTGTGGTCAGAACTGATGTCATAAGTTGGCATGGTCATGTGACATTTCACTTTACAGCAGTGGTGGTATTCAGCAGGTCCTGAACAGTTCTGGAGAACTGGTAGTGGAAATTTTGAGTAGCTTGGAGAACTGGCAAATGATTGGAGATTTTACAGTATTCATCCCAAGCCACACCCATAGAACCGGTAGTAAAAAAATTTTGAATCCCACCATTGCTTTACAGCCACATCACTTAGTGACAGAGTTAGTCGTCCCAATTGCGGTCAGTTGTTTTAGAACGGCCTTTCTCAATCTTTTTATCCTGGAGGAAACTGAAATAAATTTCAGATCTCAAGGAACCCCTTCATAAAGTCATGCATACCCCCTCCAATGCAGTATATTTCTAACCTACAATCCACATTTTACAACATTTACAGCAACATCAAAGCTGCAGGCTGGCACTGAGTTGTAGTATGTGAAAATTCTGATTGCGCACTGTGTGTGGTATATAAAGTCCAAAAATGATTTGGCTTTTTTTTCAATCATGATCCTATGCAAAATCCCAGTATTTTGTGGAATCCCAATTGATAAAGACTATTCTAGAACAAGAGCGAGCAATTGTTACAGTCAAAAGCTGCACTTGGTTTATATTATATGTAGACTACAAATAATGCATTAGTAGAAGAGTAACATCATAGGAGAAGGGTGACGAACGAATATTCAGCTTTCTTGTGTTTATTATATTTTTAATTTTACTGAGGGTTGTATAATTAACATGTCCTAGCTTTAATTCAAGTATTTTACATAACTGTTCTTCAGAATTTTACTGCCAGATTTTTGCAGTTTGATGTCAGGATGAAAAACCATCTGTCACAGACTGCCCTCCCTGGTCCTAGAATACAGTCTTAGGTGAAAATTACATAGTATTTTCTAAAATATAGGTAATATTTTAGGGACATGGTAGTTGTTTGGAAGGTTAGGAAATCAAATAGCTTCTTGTATCGTTTCCTTTAGTAACCCAATGTTGATACATAGTTTAGCAGCAACTTTTGTGCTTTAATGTCACTAATTATTATTTTGTTTTATGAATTTTTCAAGGGTTCAATGCCAGTACAATGCTCTTTGATGAGTGAAGACTGTCCCGTTGCTTATAAAGTTAATATGGCTTCCACTGTTTTCCTAAGATCCTTTTTCTTTTCTTTCTTTTCTCTTTTACTCTTTTACTTTGGGTATTGAGGGATCAGATCCTTTTTGATTGCCATAATGAAAATATCTTTAGAGCTTTCAGAGCAATATTTTCTGCCCAATTTTGTTATTTTCTTAGCAATTTTTTTACCACTTAGTTGCTCTACTAATGGCATTTACTTTTATTTAAGCATCATATGATATCGCAGCAGTTTTCATGCTTGCATTTTAATAACATTCTATGTGTGGGCAGCTTCTTCATTTCAGCTGCTATTCACAGCAGATTTCATGAATAGCCCATTCTTTGAGCACTGAGATTTGGAACAATTGTTATAAGTTAATGTCCTCAGGATTGTGTAGCTTTACCATTTCTAATTCTGACAACAGTTGCTTCTGACAATACTCCTAATTCTACAATTGCTGAGATGTCCAAAG